ATGAACCTGGGTCCTCTGTGAGAACAGTGTGCACTCTCAAACTGTTGCGTTGTCTCTCCAGCCCAGAGTTTTATTAAATTTTATTAACAACATATTTTTATTCTTTGAGAATTTCATATGTGTATACAATGTATTTTGATCATATTCACCCCCGCTCTTCCCCCAACTCCTCCCGGATCCGCTCCTCCGCTAACTTCATGCCCTCTTTTTTTAATTACTATTTTATTTTTAAGTAACTCTGCCTGTTCCCCGCAGTGGGTGATGTCCCTTCCGCTCTGTCAAGCATGAGGTGGCTTTCTGGGGAGAGGTGGAGACGGCTGTATCTCAGGCCTTCCTGATCAGGCCAGGGTTGTTTTTTTCCTGGTTGAGCCCTTGACCTCAACCAGGTCGGGCAAGGTAGAGCATCACACCAGCCAGAGTGTGGGAATTGTGTCTCATCTGAGTGACCAGCCACCCTGGTTTGTCCCAGGCTGGGAATGTCCTGAGGTTCCAGAGTCAAATGTCACAGCTGTCACAGCTAGATGCATGGACCGGAGTGAATTAGCTACCCAGGTTAGGGCCTTGGTCTCTCCGCTTTCCCGGCAATACAACTCGCAAATGTCACTTTAGTCTTTCATTCTGTTGCTCTGGCTGTGGAGGGTTGATGAGAACGCAGCACCTTAGGACAGGCAAGGGACATTTTTGACGATAGCTTGTACAAGGCCCCCTCTCTGTACACTCAGCTTGGCAGGCCTGAGTCTCAATTCCCGGTCTGTCCACTGGCCAGCTGAGCCACGACACCCATCATTCCTTGAAGTTCCTGTGTTTTGCCTTGAATGATGGTAGAAGGGTGGTCCCCACGCTATGGCTGTCCCCAAGGGTTGGAGGGAGGCAGTGTTGGTGGGGTGTGGGCCAGTGTTTGGGGAGCAGTTCACCCCCAGGCCCATGACCAGACTTCTCAGGACCAGCTGGTCCATGGTAACTGGGCAGGGATAGGTGGCAAGAATTGCTTTAAGCCCGACTTTGACTGAATGCTAGGGCTGAGGTTCCTCTGAGCCTCTGGGAGTGGGCTGCAGAGTGGGGTCTGCTCATGCCCCACTCGGCCTGTCAGGGTCTGTCAGTCCCATTTCTGGATTTGTTCACCCTCTTTTCTGTGTCAGGAAAGTCCTGGTGTCCAGTGCCCTGCCTGACTCTGTAGAGGCCTGGTGCCCTGTTGGTGCCCAAGAAGTAGAAATAGACTCTCCCGTTTCCTGGTAGCTTCCCTCTCGCTGCTGTCCTCCAGGCCCCCCACGCCATCTTGGGCTCTAATGACTTGGAGTGCTGAGCGCATCACCCTGGGAATTTATGGCAATGGCGCACAAGTGTCACCGGGAGGCACATAAATATTCCACGACTGGCTGTGTCAGCGGTCCTCTGAGAAGATCACTCACCTGGAACCCGCAGTGTGGGTGGCCATGGCTGGGTGTCCAGAGGCTGTGGAGGTAGGCACCATGGGGAGGGGCAGACCTTGTGTCGTCCTGGCCCCACACAGCAGCATGCAGGGGCCCTTTGGGTGTGCCACATACCTTCTCCACTGAGTTCTCAGCACCTGTGAGGCAGATTCTTTCTGTCCCGGTTTACAAAGTGATGGACACACTAAGTTACTCACAGAGGAGCTGAGACCCTGCCTTCCTTAGGCCAGTTCTCTTTATTTAATACTCTACCCCCTACTTTGTTTTTTAAAGATGTATTTTATTTTTAGGTGTGTGTGTGTGTGTGTGTGTGTGTGTGTGTGTGTGTGTGTGTGTGTGTGTGTATCTGTCTCTGTGTGTCTGTGTGTGGCTATGTGCACATGAGAGTGTCCTTGGAGGCTGGAAGAGGGTGTCAGATCTCTTGGTGCTGGAGTTACAGCTGGTTGTGAGCTTCCTGATGTGGGTGCTGGGAATTGAACTCACGTCCTCTACAAGAGCAGTACATGCTCTTAACCCCTGAGCTGTGTCTCTGGTGTCTCACTGTGTAGCCCACATCGGTCTTGAACTCCTGGCCATCCCTCCTGCCTCAGGTTACTGCGTACCAGGATTACAGGCACGAGCCTCCACACCCAGCTCTCAGATTCTTTAGAAAACCCAGCACACTAGAATCCAGGCCCCTCCTTACTAGTGTGATACTCGGCCTTGTTTGGATTGGCCGGGGGCCTCTTTGATCTGGGTCCTGGATGCTGTGGACACATTCCCATCAGTCTTTCACTAATTCCTTGCTTTTATAGTTGTGAGAGGCTCTGGGCTGTACCTCTGTTTCCCCTGCCCCAACCCACTGTCCCCCTGGTGCCCTAGCTGGTGGCTCCAGAGGGAGCAGGAGTTGAGATCAGGATGGGGCAGTGATGTCACCTCCAGTCTTTTTTCAGGGGCGGAACTTGGGAGAACCCTCAAGTTCCCACCTCTATGGTCTCTTTCAGTCACGTGTCATCTTCTTTGACTATTGATGCCCTTCCACTACCACCAAACCTGCCAGGGAAAGCTTGGTATCTGCTGACAGATCTTTTCATCCTTAAGCAGGACCACCCCCTACGGTCAGAGGGTTGTGTACCAGGCTCCCTGTCTGGGTTCTTTCCTGTGTGGTCAGGGCTGACTTCCAGGAAAGCCTGGTTTACCAACTCAGCAGTTATGTGGCTCATTGGCACTGAACCCAGCGGGCACTGAGGCCTGGGCCTCATGGCTGCCTTCCCTCACCCTGAGGTGCTGGGCTTGGCTCCCCCTAGGACCCATGATGCTGGCATGGCTATCTATGGGCCCAGGAGGCTCAGCCAGGAATCTGAGACCAGCTTGGAGTCTAGGAATCAGTCTCCTGACATGAGCAAAAGTACCTGGGGAAGATGACGTGGGGCCCCAAGTGGTCCGCCTTGTCCCTCACGTCCTGTCCCTGTGAGTTGGCATGGGCCTGCATGGTCCACCAGGCCCAGCATTGACTAGTCCTACCTCTGGAGGAACAAGGCTGGGTACATTTCAGACTTCTTCAATCTGGAGGCAGGGCCCAGTGGTGGCGGCTGCAGACTCAGGAGCGGCGTGTGCAGGCCCAGGCCTCACATTCTTCAGTGCGTTTGGCTTCTTCTGGGGTCAGCAATGCTCTCCTCCGAGCGGCCTCACACATGCATCCTGCTGCTGCGTGCGTGTGCATTTGCACGCAAAGATGTGTTTGCTATTTTTGGAAAAGACCGCAGACAAAGCTTGCTGGGCCTTCCCTGTGCTGCAGGTGCTGAATCAGTCCGTCTGCATGCCGAACACTGACCACTGGCTGAGGGGTATCTGTCAGGCTTGGCTTCTGTGTCTCCCCTGACTTTCTGCCGCCAGACTTCAGAGGAAGATCCCACTTGAACTCTCCTGGATTCCCCTCAGGCTGGTTCTAGCAAACAAGGAGCCATCATAGATTTCTCGGAAGAAACAGCTCAAGCCAAGGGCTGGGCTGGACTCTCAGAGGCAGGCTGCATGCAGGTCCTGAGTGATAGGGCTGTTGTATCCCTGCTGAGGCCCAGCCCTGGCTCCATGTTGGCTTAGTTTCCTTCAGAGGTCAGAGTCTCCAAGCCCTCTGCTCATGAAGTGGAGGATGCAGCTGAGAAGAGAGACAGAGCCCCTCCTGTGCACCTCGGGAGTGCTTAGACAGAGCCCCCAGTCTGAGGGAGGAGGCAGGTTCCTGTCCTCACCCTAGGGATGCCCCACCCTGTGGAGACCATGCACCCTGCCTGTCTGAGGGTCAGGGACTTCTGCTGTGTGTGTGTGTGTGTGTGTGTGTGTGTGTGTGTGTGTGTGTGTGCACGTATTGCGTATACTTGTGTATGTGTGAGTGTGCATGCATGCATATAGATGCACTTGTGTATATATGTGTGTGTGCACACACATGTGTGAGCATGCACATTCATGTGCGTGCACCGTGTATGGATGTGTTTGTGTGGAGGCCAGAAGACAGCCTGGGATGTCATCCTCAGGTACTATCCACTTTTTTCTTTTGAGACAGGGCCTTTCGCTGGTTTTTAACTTGCTAAGTAGCCAGTGAGTCGCAGGCCTCCACCTCTGCAGTGACGGGATTGTCATGTACAGCACCACAATCGCTTGGGAGGAAAAACACAGAAAACAAAAAGCAAAAAGCATAGGTTCTGGGGATCAAACTTGGATCCTCCTGCTTGCGAGGCACACACCTTACTGACGGAGCCACTTGCCCAGCCCTGTATCCGGAGGGTTGTATTGTTTGCTTAAGCTCAAATAGACCCATGCCGATAAGAAGAAAATCAGCTGGCATGGAGCAGTTCCTGCTCGTCCCCCAGCCTGCCTCCCGTGCTCTGTCTTTAATCCACACACCTTCCTCATTTGCTCCTGCGCTCTTGGTCTCTGGGTTTTGAACATTATTTCTTGACTTTTCCTGCCTTCACCATTCTATGAGAGATGAGGATTTGGTTCACACTCTTATTTCCTTCCCCGGGTAGTTCTGCAGGTTGCCATGGTTACTTTAAATAATATACATAGTTGGACATGGCCTGTGATCTTAGTATTTAGGAGGCAGAGGTGGGAGAATTATGAGCTGGGGGCCAGCCTGGGCTACATAGTGAGTATCAGTCTGGCAAGGGCTATATAGCAAGACCCTTTCCCAAAGCCAAAAACTATACATATAGCTTCAGCTTCTGCTAGCTGGTGGCTCCGCTTTTCCCTGCTGGAAGCCGAGAACCTGAACGGAGCCCTTGTGTGTTTTGGAGCTGGGTCTCCACTCGTGAGCCAAGCATGCATTTTTGCCTTCTCACCTTGCTGTCACCTCGGTTGTCTGTAGTCACATTAGGAGCGTTTACGCCACCACAGTCAGTCCGCACTGCAGACCCGATTCCTGTTAGTTGCTAATCTGTGCAGTACACTGGGCTTCCAAGGCTTATGACAGACAGGTTCAGGCAGAGCCTTGCTTAGCTTGCGCCCTTGAAGAATATGGGAACACTTGATCCTGGAGAGTGGGGGCTGGTCAGGATGGCAGCCTCAGCCTGACACCTCCATCCCCTCTATACACAGCAAAGCTTCGAGGCACACCAGGATGAGGCGGTGAGTGTAACGCACATGGTGAAAGCGGGCAGCGGTGTCTGGATGGCCTTCTCTTCTGGCTCCTCCATCCGCCTCTTCCACACTGAGACCCTGGAGCATCTTCAAGAGATCAACATTGCCACCAGGACCACCTTCCTCCTGCCAGGTGAGGCTGCTGGCTTCCTGAGGTCTGGAGTCAGGAGGACCCCCTTCCTCGTGCCAGGCGAGGCTGTGAAACCAGCTGGGGCTGGCATGAGGGGACTGACGTTCCTGGATGGCAGCAGGTGGTTGTGTAGTGGGTAGCCCAGCTCGTTAACTGCCAGGGTAGCCTTGGTCAGACTTAAAAACTGGTTCATGGTAGATGGGAAGATGCAGGGCTGGGATTTATGTCCAGGCTTGCCCTACCAAAGCTTCCATCCTGACCCTCTGCCCCCTGGACCACATCCCAGCAGTCTAGGTGCTCAGGAGTGGGCTGTAAGCTGGTAGGCTTTCAGGTGCTGGGAACTGGTACCAAAAACACATGGGCAGGGGACCCAGGCTGTCTACAACGTCCCAATACTCAGGTAACCAAAGCCTCATTCTGCCTCTGATTTATGGGCAGGAGAGGAGGCCCCCATCTGTCTCTTTCCGTAGAACTTTCTAGAAGGAAGGAGAACCTCTACATTTGTTATTCAGCAGGTTTGGAAACACCGTGAAGGTGAAGAATTTGGATGGCAACTTCTAGGGGACTGTACTTCCTCTTACAAAGCTGTCTGTTTGATGAGGGGGCGAGGGAGGAGGGATTACCACTGGGGCTCATACCACACCCCACCTTGCTGCTCTCTCCTGAAATCTCTGTGGAGTTGGCTTCCATCCCTACCCACCATTGCTGCCCATATGAAGGGCTGCTTTGGAGACCCTGGGCAGATACCTGCTGTGGTCCACTCTCTCTTCAAATGGCTTCTGGGCTACCCGTGGAGCTATAGGTACCAGCTTCTTCTGCTTCTATCCTTGTCCCAGCTTCTGCCAGTCCACTTGACTTGGGACTAGTTGAAGAGGATGACCAGCATCCTTAGGCAGGCCTGGGTTCGTCAGCGAGGAAACTGGCCCTGGGGCTAGGGAAACAGCAACATTTTTACCTGGGTGTGGGAGAAGGGCTGTGGCAAGGCTGGGCGTGGGTTTGAGCTGAACTGGGGAAAGGCTCACTGGCCAGCGCCTTGGGGTCTGAGGGCCTCTGTCCTCCCCTGAGATCTGATCCCTATTTCCAGCTGTGACCCAGACATCATCCTGGCTGCTGCTTCCACCTGGCTAGTCAGGGCATCACCCAGGATCAGGTGGCCGTTAACAAGCTAGGTAGCAGCCATGCCTATCTACTCAGAGCTGCCAGTCTACTAGAGTCCGGTACTAAGCAAGGCTCCGCTGATGGCCATCACACTGTGCTCTAAGCCCCCAAAGCTGCAGATGGTCCCCGAGTTAGAGATGCAGACATAGGTCTCCTCAGCAGGGTCATAAGCCTTGTCATGCAGTGGCTCAGAGTCCTGCTGGATGATGGGAAGTGCGGGGGATCACACACACACCCAACTTCAGAGTTAGTCGAGTCCGGGCGTAGCCACTGAGTACTCTGGTCCCTCCATGTGTTGGGATGCAGTCCTGAGGGTAGATCCCATGGCTAGGAAGGTGCTTCACATGGCTGAGGTGGGGGACAGTCCCTTCTGCACCATTCCCCTGCATCAGAAGCCCTGTGTTGATTGTGGTCCTGCTCCTTCCTGCCTTCTCCTCCCCCTTCCTCCAGTTTGAGTCCATTTCCTGAAAGGGGGAAGGGGGGGGGGAGCGGGACAAGACTGGGATTCGGACCAGTTTCATCCATTATACAACATAATAAAAATTCTCTGTATCATAGAACTACTTCGGCATTTATCTTGATAGCTAAATTATTTCAAGATAATGGAACAATGGAAAAAATGGTTAATCTTATGAGGTTTTGAAAATCTTGGGAGTCTTGTCTAGTCAGGGCAGAGTAAAGGGAGAGACATTGACTTCAGCTGTCAGAGGCCGGTCTGTGGGAGGATCCACGGGGGTGAGGGGGTGGAGAAGCCCAGCTCTGGTTGGGCTCATGGCTGTATCCCAGAGGACCCCAGACATGTGTTCTTTGCTTTTAAAGGGGAGGTACCATGGGTGAGTGTCATTGTTTCCAAGTCATGTGAGCAGAGACCCTGGAGGCTGTGTGACAGGCCTGTCCTTGTCACTCTGCTGGTCAGGTGGTGGACACATCCTCTCCCCAGCCTCAGTTTCTCCATGGATACAGGGCTGAGTCAGAGCTTGGCTGATCTCAGAGTCACATTCTTGCTAGACCCCCTGCTCTGCCTGGAAACAGTGGTCAACTCTCTTCTCCCCACTTGTCACCCTGCAGTTCTTGGTAGGAAAAAGCCTCGGTCCTGACAGGGACGTTTACTGTCATCATTCTTATCTTCTTATTGTTATCATTGTTACCTTCATGCCCCGTCCCACTGGCCTGTTGCCAGGGAGCTCCTGCAGAGCCTCCTTGCCCACCCTGAGCCTCTGGGTCAGTGCCTTCCCTGAGGCACCAGCTGTGTGTGAGCAGACAGGGAGCCCTTTTCTACGTCTGAGCCCTGGGTCTCCTCTAGGCCTGGGCACCCCTGGTCAGCCAAGCTGAGTATCTAGCTCCGTTGAGCTGAGAGAGACTCCCAACCCCCCAGCTGAGCTGGAGTCAGTTTCCCAGGCAGGAATCGGAGGGCAGAGGGCGGCTTCCTGTCCACCCCACACTGTGCCCTGGAGGAAGAAAAGCTGAACAGGATTTTTAAATTCTTTATTAGAGATATTTAAAACAGGCTTTTAAGTATTTCTTCTCCCCCACACCACCAAATGAAATAATTGCATAATTAGTAATAAATTTGTTCTTCCTCTAAGTGTGGATTTTTTTTTTTTTTAGGGCGTGTTAAAAAATTTATCACGCTCCCTCCCTTCCACTGGAGTACCCGACTGGTATTAATGCATTTTTTTAAACCTAAACTCCCTCCTCCTTTTAACTAGACAGGTCATTAATAAAATGTTCTCCGAGAGCCTGAGCTTTTAAAAGTTGTATATCTCCAGATAGATGGCCAGGGTGAGCTGAGCCCTGTGTATTAAGTCTCTATGATCAAATATTTATCCACCATTAGAATTTTTTTCTTTTGGACTGTTTGTGAAGTGTCTCACTCTCTTCCTTGAGGCGGAAGAGAGGGGCCCCAGAATGAGGCCTGCAGATGAAGTCGTTTCTCACCTCTGTCGTCTCTGTGGGTTCTCGTTCACCCTCTTCCTTTTGTCAAGTTTCTGCTGAGGTTGGGATGAGGATGCGAGGCCTCCGTACCACCTACTCTTGGTCTTGGGGTCTCGGGAGCTTATGGAAAGGAAAGTGAGGCATGTGGGGGGCAGCATAGCCACAGCTCCCTCTTGGCCTTACTATTTTGGGGGTTTGTATCTGGGATGGAACTGATCTTAGCATATTAGAGTCTAGGGCCTTTAAGTATTTATAAATATTACTCCATGCACCTCCAGTGACTGTATGTTACTGTCTCAGAGCTGTGCTCAACTGTGTGTGTGTGTGTGTGTGTGTGTGTGTGTGTGTGTGTGTGTGTGTATCCACCCATCCACTCATCTACCCACTCTTTTTCTCATCTGACCATCCATCTATTCACCCATCTATCCATCTACCAACCTATTCATCTACCAATTGCCAATCTATCTATCCATCCATCCATCTATCCATTATCCCTCCTGCCATCCATTTACTGATTAATTGCTTAATCCATCCATCTGTCCATCTATCTACACCCTTCCCAATCTGTCTACCCATCTGCCTGCCAATCCATCAATCCATCCATCCATCCATCCATTCACTCATCTACCCATTCACCTATCTATTCATCTACCAGTCCACCTATCTATGCATTTGTGAATTCATCCATCCATCCATCTATCCATCCACCTACTCACTGCACAATATACTCTTCCATCCACTCACCTATCCACCCTTCTTATTATCTATTCATCTGTCTGTCCATCTACTCACCCACCCATTTGCCTGGAGTAACCTGGCAGCAGGCCTGTTCACAGGCTCTGCCCTGGCCCCCTTCTAGTACGTGCCACTGCTGCCAGCTTCTACTTTATCTCTGCCCATTGCAGACTGTCCCACCTGCTCTTCATTGGCTTGCAGGCTGGTTTGCTGGGTGTGGCTTTCAAATGGACACCCAACTGCCCCTGGGTGCCAGGCAACTGGGCCCCGACACACAGAGCCCACATCGGCCAGTCACCGTGTCCTGTGGCATCACCCCACTGTGTCCTCACAGCAGTCCACTTACACTGGGGAAACTGAGGTCTGACTGGGTGCTCATGTCCTAACCACGGCACCCTCCAACTTGTCTTGGGGGACGTCTGGGCTGTACAGCTCCCTGATCCAGATGAACTGAGCGTATGTTGCCCCTCTCTCTGCAGGCCAGAAGCACCTGTGTGTCACCAGCCTCCTTATCTGCCAGGGTCTGCTCTGGGTAGGCACCGACCAGGGTGTCATTGTCCTGTTGCCTGTGCCCCGGCTGGAGGGCATCCCCAAGATCACAGGTAAGGTTCTGGGGCTGTCTCGGTGGGTTTTGGGGTTGGCTTCAGGGAGGAGGGGGAACTGGGCCTAGATATCTGCAATCCCTACTGATTTGTGATCGAGTCTGGCCTCTCTGTCCCTCTTGCCTTAGCCAGGGCATAGTAAAATAATATCCCAGGCTACCACCTCCTACCTTCTGAACCTTACTTTTCTGATCTGGGTGGAGATTCTCGCACTGACTGGAGAATCTGAGGGTTGGCTGAGGCACCTGATTAGTGGCAGAGTCTCTGCTGGGCCCTGCTGCTTGTCTCTGTAGCAGAGTGTATCAGAGGTAGAAGTGTGGGCTCTGAAGATGGGCCCGCGTCAGCTGTGGCAGCCAGTCGGCCCTGACCTGTGACTCTACGCCCAATAGAACAGAAGCAGGGGCAGGGAAATCCTGTTTAGACACTGGAGCTCTGGTCCCCTTTGCCTCTGCCCTGAAAGGGAAGGCAGTGGTCTCCTCTAACAGTCAGCAAGCATAGCGGGGAGAGGGAGGAGCCAACCGTGAGGCAGCCCTGCCAGACCTCTACCCTCTTCTAGACTCTCAGATTTCTGGGTGTCTTGTCTTCATGATGCACTCGCTAGAGCAATTTGTGCATGCAAGGAGGCACCCAGGCTGGGTGGGACACAGGGATGCATGAGGCAGGTAATGTCCAGGACAGCCATGGTCCAGGCAGAGGGTGCCATGGTGGAGAGAGATCAAGGAGTCGCTAGGTGCCAGCTCCCCTGGGAGGATGAAGACAGGATGCACTGTGGATGCTGGAGCTTGGCTGGAAGGAGGAGCTGTAGAGCTTGTTACAAGACTTGGCTTTCTGGGTGGAGCTCAGAGGAAGTTATCAGTGTGGCTGTTTCACCCTGGAGATGGAGGATGGCCCCTGTACCACGCCTTTTCTTTTAGGCCACCAACCAGCTCCCAAATCATGACACAGAGACCTCTTATGAATGCTCGGCTTTAGCTTAGGCTCGTTTGTTTCTAGCTCTTTTCACTTAAATTACCCTGTTTCTCTTTATCCACCTTTTGTCTCAGGGCTTTTTACTTTCCTTCTGTACATCTTACTTTCACTGTTTTCCGTGTCTGGCTGGCAGCTGCCTGGCTTCTTGCCCCGGGTGTCTCCTTCCTTCTCTTCTCTCTTCTTCTCTAGTTCCTCCTCTTGAGCCTAGTTTTCTCCTCCTGTTTATTCTCCCTGCTCACCAGCCCTGCCCAGCCTTTCTCTGCCTAGCTATTGGCCATTCAGATTTTTATTGGACCGGTCAGGTGCCTTAGGCAGGCAAGATGAAACAGCAATGCAGCTTTTCATAATTAAACAAATGCAGCATAAACAAATGTAACACATCTTTACATAGTTAAAGTAATATACCACAACAGGCCCCGTTCTATGAAGTCATGCCATGAAGCATGGCATAGACAGATCTTATGGCCTCCGGGGAGATGCCAACATAGATGGCAGATGAAAATGTCCAACCCACTCAGAAAGTTCTCCAGAAGTACTTGGCTATCTCCTTTAATGACCTGGTCTCTTGGCCCTTCTCCTCTGCTTTGCTCTCACAGGGAAAGGCATGGTGTCTCTCAATGGTCACTGTGGACCTGTGGCCTTCCTGGCTGTGGCCATGAGCATCTTGGCCCCTGACATCCTGCGGAGTGACCAGGAAGAGGCTGAGGGGCCTCAGGCTGAGGAGGACAAGCCAGATGGACAGGCTCATGAGCCAGTGCCTGCACCTGATAGCCACACAGGCCGAGAGTTGAGCCGCAAGAAAGGCATCCTGCTTCAATACCGCCTGCGCTCCACGGCCCACCTCCCCGGGCCTGTGCTGTCCGTGCGGGAGCCGGCACCCACAGATGGCTCAGCTCTGGAGCATAGTGAGGAGGATGGCTCCATCTACGAGATGGCTGATGACCCTGATGTCTGGGTACGCAGCCGGCCCTGTGCCCGTGATGCCCACCGCAAGGAGATCTGTTCTGTGGCCATTATCTCCGGTGGGCAAGGTTACCGACACTTCGGCAGTGCTCCCGGTGGCCTGAGTGGGCGGCCTGCCCCGTGCAGCGAGACGGACAGTACACTTCTTATCTGGCAGGTGCCCTTGGCTCTATAGCTATCCACCCTGTCCATCCGGAGGTCGTCACAGGGCAGCTGGACCGCTGGAGACATGCTGGGACCTTTTTTGGCCCACCTGGATTCCCCCCAGGGACTTGTACAGGCCACAAGACGGGCCTGGATTCTCCACTGAGGCCTTGAAGAGCAGAGGAAAACCTTTGAAAACAAAAATTCAGAATGTTTTGGGGAGGGGTTTTAGGGTCATGGGGTATGGAAGGACACACTTGGAGAATATGGCCTTTTTGTTTTGTTTTGGTTTTGAAGCAAAAAAACATAAAACCTCACCACTGCCTGCTAAACCCAGAACCTTTTGTTGGGGCTGAGTGAGGCTCGGAGGTGGCCGTGCCCCTCCAGGAAGGATGTATGTGTGAGTGCCTGAGCATGTGGACTGGCGTGTGAATATATATATGAATACGTATATACGATGTATATTATATGTGTATAAATACAATCTGTACATAATGGGTCTCTGGGAGATGCTGGAATAAAAGGCAAGAGATATGTGGGCCATGTGGGCTTTATGGGATGTCATGGGGATGGGACACAGTGAATAACTATTGCCAGATAAGGGATGTTGGGGACCAGGGGCTCCCCTGCTCCAGCATGAAGGATTGAAGCCAGGGTCAGGTTGGAGGCCACTCAGAAACACACTTCAGAAGGCACTGTCCAAGGCAGTTATCAGTTGCTATCCATAACCACTTAATTTGCATGTTAAAGATTTGGTCCATCATCTCTTAGCCACATTTCAGGTGTGACTGGAAGAGCCCTGCTGGGTGGATGAGTATTGAACAGGTTGGACAACATACATGACCATCATTTTCATCATGGCGAAAGGCTCGCTTGCTCAAAGAAGGGCTCTTGGGTACTTTCTGGAGTGTCTTGGAGAAAGGCTGGTCACCTCGCTCTGGAGAGGTCATAGTGTATGAGGCAGTGAGAAGAGGGGTGGCCTTGGGCTCCTCAGTAGCTGGGGCCCAAGACTTTGAGCAGGGAGGGGGGGGCTGCTCCCGAATCTGGAGACATGGATGAATACCAGGCGGGACTGTTGCGGGCTGCCAGAAAGAACCAGTGCTCGGGCCTCTTACCTCGCCTGGCTCCATTCTTCTTGAGAGTTCAAGCAGCTGCTGCAGGGAAAAGAAAATAAAGTTGGAAGCCACGGCCAGCAAGGGCGGTATCTCCTCCATCTTCCCCACGTCATCTGCTTGTGTGTCTGTCTGTTCACATCCATGGATTTTCCCTCCACACTTAGGGATGGCAGAGCCAGGTACTGAGAGATATGAGGCAGAACTTTCATCTAGGCCTGCCCACAAAGTGCACTGAGAACTGTCTTCTGAAGGGCCGAGGACCCGGTGGAAAAGCCACCAGAGTTCTGGAAGCCCCAAAGGATCTCACCTTCCATAGTCATTCATCCGTTCACTCCTTTCACATTTCCTGAGTTTCTACCATGCCAGGTACCGTGGTAGTTGGTGGGGCTATGGAGGTGACCCACAGGAAGTGTGTGGTCTCCAGTTTGAGGACAGACCCTGAGTGAGACTGCTGCAGAGGAAGAAGAGGAGCAAGCAGGCTATAAGGAGGTGACTCGTCGCTGGAGGGCAGGAGTCCAGTGGGTCTCCAGGTGGGGCGGAGGGGACACTGGATTCCCAGGAGGCACTAGGTGGAAGGGTCTGGTTCTCACTCCCACACCATGGCTTTGATGGGAGACATCTCTGGTCCTCAGTTTCCCATTTTGTATCAGAGGAAGAGCCATCACTGTCCACCTGTCAAGGGGCAGAAGAGTTGCTAACATTCCCTTTTCTGCTGCTGTATTGATTTTCAAATATCATGTCTTGATGGGACTTCACATAGGCACGTTAGCCTGTTGGTCAGTGCTGGCCAAGATGTTCTTGGGACAATGACGGGCAAGGAGAAGCTGTTTAGGAGAAGGGGCAAGCCTGGACTCTAGGGCCGCTCTGCTGAGCACCTGCTGTGTGGCTCCCAGAATGCCCCTTGGTTTCCTCATCTATCAAATTATCATCTACCAAAATATCTATCAAAAGGTACTGCTTTCCTGTGGGTCCCCAGTGCTGAGTATGTGGGAAGTACCGTCATAGCCTCCAACAGCAGCTGTGGGATTGTCCCTTTATCCTTGGCCCAAGAATTTGTGGCAGAAGTCTCCCCTTTTGTGAAGCAGCTGGTGGCCAACAGCCCTAGTCTGTCTTCATACAGCTCACTCATCTGGAATGGGCCTGTGTATCGCTGTCACTCAACATTCTTAGTCCAGTGAACCGACCTCATCGGTCAGCAGCTCCTCTCTGCCTCTCTGACCACAGAGGAGGGGAGCTGGGGGTGTGGTGGTGGTACCTGAGAGAGGAGGCCCCGGTGCTCTGGGTCCTCACGGTGTTTAACAGCTGCCCTACTGGGCCTCATTTTGCACACAGAGAATTGGAGATTCATAGGATGTAATGAACTTGCCCAGCAAGCTGCAGGCCCCAAGTCAGGCAGGATTGAGGTCTGTCCTCAGACACTCATCCACCACACAGCTCCTCCAGAAGAGACTCTTTATAGACCATGCTAGCAAGCTAGCTCTGCCTTCCACCTTCCTGTGTGATGTCCAGCAAGATCCTTAACCTCTCTGAGTCCCGGCAGAGGGGCAGCCAGGCCTCGGATACCATCAATTTCACTCAGTACCTGTTGTGTGCTGAGACTTGCTTCAAAGTGACCTGTAGATAGAGTGTGGCGAGCAAGACAAATGCTGTATCCCCTCGGTCACCCCAGTCACCCCCGTTCTGCCCGTGAGTGCAGAGGAACAGAGTAAGGAAGTATTGGTTAGTGTTGGCACTCCAGAGAGGCAAAGTGCTGAGAGACAGAGACAGAGTCTGTGGGGAGGAGGCTCAGGGCGTTGAATAGGGTTGGCAGGAAGCCACATGGGGTGGGTGGGTGGGTTTGAGCAAAGACTGAGAAGGAAGCAGGAGGCCGGAGAACATTCTGGATCTAGAACATTCCAGGCAAGAGCAGAAGACAAAGTAGGGGTGCGGCTATGACGGAGGGATTAAGGGGTGCAGAAGACAGACGGTGAGTGCTTGGCAACAGGGGGATCACTGGGGGTTTCAGCAGAGGAAGACCCATTGGTCTTGAGTTGGCTCTGTTTCCAGTCACTCGTCCACTCATTTATCTGTTTATTTATTTATTAAGACAGGTCTCATTATGAAGCCCAGGCTGGCCTCAAACGTAAAATCCTCCTGCCTCAGCCTCCAAAGTACTAGGGTTTTAGGCCATCTTCGGTTTTTCCAGCCATCCATGTTGCCTGGGAGTCCTGGGGGGCAACGTGTGGAACCAGAAGCCTTTGGGGAGGGTTGTGCCGTCATCCTCCAGATTCAGAGTCCAGGCTGGGGACGTGTAGGCACGCTCAATGAGCAGCAGCCCGGGAGCAGATCTGAGCTGTCCGGTACAGGGAGAGCCAGTCTCTGGAGCTCTGGGAGGGGAGACAGCAAGCCTAAGGGAGGTGAGGAGGTTTGCCACAATGTCTCCATTCGTGCTGTGACAACAGACTAACCACGTCTGGGCGTTTTGTAAAGAAAAGAGGTTTTTTTTTTTTTTTCACTCTCAGCTTCAGTGAGGATGTGGTGGCTGGTGACATTGCAAGGTGGTTGTGTATGCAGAAGAAGGTCTCAGGAGGTGCCTGTCTCAGCCATAATTCATTCTTACAGGAATGAAACTAAGTCCCATGAGACCCGACCCACTCCAGTGAGACCAGCATTAACCCTAATGGTAGCACCACCATAATCTAACTACATCTTACTGGGCCCCTCCTCTTAAAGGTTCTGTTACCCCCATCAACATGTCAACTTTTAAGGAACCACACATAAACCATAGTGCATGGGATGAGGTGGGAAGCTTGGAGCCATGGAGGGTGTTTGAACTGGTCTGTCTGGCACTAAGAGTCAGGTCAACTGACTCTCACCATATGTTGTCACACATGTAGACCCAAGGGACACCAATTGTGGTCACAACATAGTTTTTTGTAGGTTGTTGTGTGACACACCTACCACCCTACCCACTGACCTGCACACCCACATATGCTCATTCACTCACACAGACACACACACATTCCATCAGACCTCACATATTCATTCATACACACCCGCATACTCTCACACACACACCCATTCATACATTGACAGGTATACCCACAGACTCAACACCTTTATTCACAGGCATATACACTCAAGCAGTCACTCAAACGTTCAAACACTTATACACTCTCCCTTACATACACACACAAACAGACACAAACTCAGAGCATGTATTGTATGTGCAGCAGTTTCCCCTGAAGTTAAAGTCTTCCATTTTGGAGGGAAACTTCATAAGACACAGTATGTTTACAGGGAGGTTAAACAACAGGATTTTCTAAGGGGAGGTGAAACACACATCCTTCAGGGATGCTCTTTAAGACAGGAAGTAAACAACTCAAAAACAGCGTCAGGAAGTTCCTGAAGCTGAGCGGATCCACTAGGCCCCTCCCTCCCTGAGAGTATCTAAGTAAGAACTGCTGGGAGACACTCTCAGACAAGCTGTCTAGGGGAAGCAGAGACCAGCTGAGCTGCCCGAAAAGGACATTTTCCAACCGGTGAGCTGCCTGCAGGCTGTGCCGTGTGCTCCAGGTTCCCAGCTTTGTGAGTTGTCACCCATGCTGGAGTGGGCCTTGGTGACGCAGCTGTCTTTGAGTCATTTCTGCTCCTGTAAGTGACCCCTCACCCATATTCCTGTGAGTAACCCCAGTAAAACTCACTGGTTCACCAAGTTGGACTTTGGTGGTATCCACACTTGGTCTGTTGTCAGTTTCCTATTTGGAGTGAGCAGACATTGGTTCATGTCACCCCAGGAATAGCGTCATACAACCCAGGAATAGCATACTCACACAAGCACACACACACCTGTACATACAAATGTTTCTGCGTGCACATGAACACACACACACACACCCCTTGGATTTAGATTTCAGACAAATTGTCCCCACTATACTGCTCCCACTACACTAAGCACTTTCCTGTACCTTGCCTCTGTTGTCACAGGGCAGTCCTTGTCCTCAGGGAACACACTCCATCCAGGAGGCAGGATGTGGTGTGAAAGAACATGACGAATAGTAGGAAGCTTCCTGGAGGCAGCTGGGCTGCCTCAGCAGGGCAGAGCTTTGATCTGCTCAGATTTGGGACTAAATCTTGGCTCTGTCATGCACTGAGTATGGCCTTTGACAAGGGACAACCTCCAGAGTGTCCAGATGTCCTCAGCTGAGCAGGCAGGGAAGGAGGCTGTCCTCACAGGTCCTCTGAGCCCTGCTGTCTCAGCACATCTTTAGATACTAAAGGGAGGCAGAGGAGCAGGAGGCCATAGGTCAAACACCATGCTAGATGCGTAAACTGTAGTGGTCCAGGCTGGCTGACTCACAAGTTCTGGTCCTGGCAGGGACTGTACTGAGGCTGTGTTTCCTCTCACATTGACTTGTTTCCAAACCCTGGGCTCAGGCA